CTGCTGCTGTTACTGCTGCTGCTGCTGCTGTTACTGCTGCTGCTGTTACTGCTGCTGCTGCTGCTGCTGATTGGTTTGGTAGAACTCCAACCAGTGGCCAAAGAGAATGACCTAATGAGCTTATTTTAAGTCTACTCTTAAATTTTAGTTTTGCTGAAATGATTCACACATTTATCAGTAATGATCAATTAATTCCACATTCGCTGCTTTGATAAAACTATCTTAATAAATAATATATAATAAGTTTTGCCTTAAAACATCATTTAGTTGTAAAGTGGAAACAATCATGTTTTCTCAGCTCTGTCGTTCACTGACCCGCGGGCAACACGTGCCCTCTGCACAGACTGGCAGGCAGCACAGGAAACATGTCGGTCTGTGTCGAGGTTTTAAGGTCACCGATTGGGCGCCTTTTGATTGACAGGAGATACAAAAACAGGAAGAGGTGGAGCTGGAACCTGTCCCTCACAGCTGATAGTGACCACTGTAACTACAACAGTGACCGGTGGTACCGATTTCCTGTACATGTTGGCCACTTCAGTGAGGTTAGTTATTATTATGTCGATACGAACACGTGAGTGGAACAAGGTCGCGGCAGGGTTTCACGACGGAAAAAAAAAAACTTTTTTTTTTTTTTTATTCTTTGGTACAGTGTGTCTGGATTCATGCTTATCTGAAGTTTCTCAGATGAACTTTATTCCCAGAGTGGAGTTCACAGAGAACACAAGAACGTAAATGGAATTATTATAAAGCATTGTGAACTTAGTAACCGTCTGACGTGACGTAGCCGTAGAGTTGAGGTCAAGAAGGTAACGTACGCCAACGTCGTTTTTATCTGCGTTTCTACCTCTAAAGATCGCTCCCTCTGAAGTTATTTGTGTTATTTTCCAAACCCCAGAGGTGCAGACATGATGTATTCATAAGAATGTCAACTCGACTTGGACCTGACTGCTCTGGGACGTGCAGAGCAACGAAAAAAAAACCTCTCATCTCGGGTTTTGACCTGATGTTGTTCTCCAACAATAACAATAAAGCAGTGTGTGTCGGGCCGACCTTGTTTGGCCGCACAGCGTGAATATTTCATGATTAGGCCTCAGCACCGAAAAAAGAAAAAACAAAAACTTGGTCTGCATCCACTTTAATACTTTTAGTATTAAAACACATTTTTTTCCTGCTCGCCGTCCTTGGTTATGGCTGGTTTTTCAGGAATTTTTTTTTTTCTGGTCGTGCAGGTCGACACGCAGGTCAAACCAGTGGACGATCGTCCTCCTGAAGTGATCTAAATCAGTGGTTCTCAAACTGTGATCCTCCTGAAGTGGTGTTTTTACAGCTCAGAACCAGAACCCGAGCCACAGAGATCATTTTGAAACATCTAAATCAGTGGTTCTCAAACTGTGGTACGTGTACCACCAGTGGTACTCAGGGAAAATTGATATTTTTTACATTTACATTTTCAATTGAATAAATCTGAAACACACATCTCAGGAAAAAATTATATTTTTTACATTTACATTTTCAATTGAATAAATCTGAAACACACATCAGTGTCTCTCCTGTGGTGGAGAAGTTGGAGAACCACTGGTCTAAATGGTCCTGGGTGCCTGTAAGAGTTCCATGAGGAAGATCCTGTAAGTCGGATCTTTTTTTTTTTAGCTTGTAGCAAATGTGTGCGTGTGTGGAAACGCCATAAGGTTGGCATTGGTGGAAAGACAGAGGACGGTGGAGGAAAAAGGAGCTAGAGATGGAGGAGGAGGAGGAGGTGGAGGAGGAGGAGTGGGAGGACTCAGTCTGGCTCCTGCGTAGTGGAGCAGGGATTCATCCATTTGTGCTGCGTCCTGGTCTGGGGTCTCTCTTGGCTTTCATTAGGCAGCTCTGCTTCCTGCTCCAAGGATGATTGTTTTCTCTCCAAATACGACCATTACACACACACACACACACACACACACAATCAGACAAAAGGGGAGACGTTCAGACTCATGTCGGACCCTCAGAACCTGCTGTACTTCAGGGCCTCACGCAGTCACGTGTACACACACACACACACACACACACAGTCTTTCCTGGTCATTACAGACTAACTGCTGGTTTTATGCAGATTTATTGAATCCAGACTTAATGGTTTTAGCAGTCGCTTTCTTTCTTTTTTTACGTCCGTTTGTCTTTTTTTTCTCCTTCCTCCTCCTTGATCTTTCCTTCTGTCCAATCTTATCACTGTCGTCTCCTTCTCATGATTTCCACCCTAGCCTTCCTCTGCCTTTGTGTCCTCAAAATCCTCGTCTTCCTCCACTGTGAACATCTCTCTCTCTCTCTCTCTCTCTCTCTCTCTCTCTCTCTCTCTCTTAAATCCTCCTATTCTCCCTCTCACTCTCTCTGACTCCCTCACTCTCCCCCAATATTTGACTTCTCCTTCATCACAGAGATGAAGACGAACTAAAAAACTAAATCAGCCGAAGATGAGTGCGATTAAAAAAAAAATCGTTCTTTTTTACCGTCGATTGAAGACTTTTTCCTTCTTCTAATTCAAATCCTTTCAACAGAGACGGTTGCGATGCTAAAGAAATTTACTGTACGTTCAGGTCAGCCATGAAATCAGTCTGACTTTTACCAAAACGTCTTCTAAATGTCACACACACACACACACACACACGGCCATATGACATCATATCTTTACATCATATCCCATAATTCCCGTGCGTTGTGGTAACAGTCACATTCATCTCCATTTGTCACTGACCAACTGCTCAAAGAACAGTTACATTTGTATAGATTTTTTTATATATATTGGATAACTGAGTTGGTTTGATCATTTCTATAGATTTCATAACATATTGGAAAAGTAAATCTCTTATTTTTCAATGTGGTAGAGCAGGTGTGTTACACTCATTATCACCGGGGGGGAGGGGGTGTAACTACTGCATAACATTTGTTTTGAATATTATTGTTATAATATTATTTATACAGATGTTGTTCATTGCTGTGTAATAAAAAAAGTTTTAATTTATCAGGTTAATAAACTCTGCTGCATGGACTTTATTAAATGGTTTTTAATCTCCCTCAGGCCACATTTGGCCCCCGAGCCTTGAGTTTGACACGAGTGGTAGACAGTTAAGGATGTAGTAATAACAACAATCAATTATACAGTATATCTTATATAGTATACTAGAACATTTAACCCTGTTTAACTGAATTTTAAAAATTCAGTTCTGAAAAAAAACCCACCTTTATTTCACTTCTGATTCTTTTCTCGAAGCGTCAGCTCCGTGTTCTTTTGTCTTTATCTCTGCAGCCCTCTGCTGCAGGTTCAGCCCGGTGTAGTTGTTCCTACAGGGCCGTTTTAACGTACTTTATAAGACTTGTTCATTTGAAAGCGTTCACAGGCCCCACCTCTCCCCTAACCTGTGTTATTAGGTGCTAAAGTAAATGTTGGAGACTTGAACTGACAGTCTGAGGTTCCCAGACCACAATAAAACGCGATTTTTTCTTTTTTTCTTCATGACCATTCTTTACCCGCTACTTACAGTAAAGTGCTCTTGAGCAAGGCACAGAAATGTGAAGTGTTTAATCCTCTGTTCCTCCCTTAACAGA